GGCGCGAAAGTTTTTGCTTCGTCTCCTATAAGAGCTTTTACTCTAATTTTCGAAATTCTTCCGAGTTTACGGCCCAGCAGAGCAAGTAGATCAAGTATATGACGTACTCGATCAAGTATGGATTTGGTCACTATCTGCCCTCTCTGAACTCATTACCCATCCGACAATTCGAAGTTTTGGCCAGAATCACAATTTGGCCAAAAACTCGTTTCTGGGGTATTTTGACCCCTGAACACGAATATCACATCCGTTTGACGATAAGCGCTTGCTTTCACGTTGTTGTGATCATCAACTGAACGAGGGAACCGATCGTTTTCGCGTCAAACGGATGTGATATTTGTGCTCAGGGGTCAAAATACCCCAGAAACGAGTTTTTGGCCAAATTGTGATTCTGGCCAAAACTTCGAATTGTCGGATGGGTAATGAGTTCAGAGAGGGCAGATAGTGACCAAATCCATACTCGATCGAGTACGTCATATACTTGATCTACTTGATCTCTCTGCTGGGTCGTAAACTCGGAAGAATTTCGAAAATTAGAGTAAAAGCTCTTATAGGAGACGAAGCAAAAACTTTCGCGCCAACGGGATGCAAACCCACAAGCATTTGCCTTTGAAGCGAGACCGTTACCACGTTAGGCAGCGTTCATAGTTCGCGACAGCAGCGGCGATCGCCGCGATCGTCGGTGCATGGCAGCGCGCGCCCCAACGCTATTGTGAATGCTCGCCTGATGAATAAGGGAATTCAACTTGTAAGACCTTCTTTACTCTTAATAAGGGCTACTAACAGAGATCTGGAATAGAGGTAAGAAGGTTTCACTTCCTTTTAGGTCGGGGTAAGACCAACTCCATTTCCTGGGTGAGCTTCTTTTTTTGTTTTTATTGTTTCAACTTATGCATGCGCCTCAGGAATTCCTATCGCTGTGTTCCAACTTCCAAAACATTCATAGTTTACAAGTCGAGTTCAAACAACGAAGAAAAAAAGAAATAGAAAGAAACTCTCCTAGGAACCAAAGCACTAATCATTTTACGCGACATCAACAGGTGAAAACTTCATAAACCTCACCTCGACGATGAAAAAAAAAGAAGCAATAAAAACGTACCTCAAGTGAAGCTCTCGCGCTTTTTGCTCATTTCTATCCTAAATAAGAAAGAAAATAGAAAACAAAAGCGATTAAGCTGGGCTCGCCTTCCCTTGTGTCAAACCAAGCTTCAGTACCTAAGGAAATTGCAGTCAAAGGAAAAAAGCATAAAATTGAGCCGCTTACCCCCAGAAGCCTTCGGAGCGCAAGTAATAGCGTTGGGGCGCGCGCTGCCATGCACCGACGATCGCGGCGATCGCCGCTGCTGTCGCGAACTATGAACGCTGCCTTAGCACTGCCTAGCGATCGATCGCAGCGCTTACGAGTCAAAACACAGTTTTCACAAAATTTGACCTCCCAGAACTCGTCTGGGAGGTCCCTGTAGCACTTTTAATCTGCATATTCGTAATCAGCATCCGAGACTATCGATGTACCTAGGTCTCCATTCAAAGTTCCATGGGAAGTTCAAACCATTCCCTTGTTAGAAGAATCGTTTTGATGGAAATATGGCTTAATTTTGAATAGCTGGACAGTGATGGGTGGATAGACCAAGTAATGTTTACTCCCCCGGTCGCACCCATGACATAGCCCTGAGGGCCTTTCCATCTTCTGCTCTTTGTTGAAAGTTTGAGCCCACTCATGTGATCGTTTACAGGCGGTGTATCATAATCCTCTACGATTCCCCAATACACAGTCCGCTCGTTCTGGATCAGCAGAGCCACCATCGTTGCCTGGTGGTGTACATCATCTAATGTCAGGCAATTATTATTATACTAGGTAGGCCTCAATTTTGCATTTTTGTTTACCTTGTCTTCTCCACTTTTTCGAGTGTTTTTTTTTCAACGGGTTTTCCTTAGGGACGGTCGTCGTCAGGTGTTACCGCCGAAACCGATATATTTAGCTGATGGACATCAAGTGCAGTTTGGAACGCATACTGGTGAGGTACTCGCGTGAGTTTATCGTGTTTTGTAAGTTTTATTTTGTTGTAACATATTTGATTAGGTTGGCAGGATGCCCCTGTTTCCGCGCTTTCTCCGATTTCGTGAATTCTCCAAGTTTCGCGAGGAAATTTCTCTCTTCCACGATTCAGAAGCAGTCTCTGGGCGTATTACTTATAATTTCCCCATACAAGCCGTGGTTACTTATGACTAACCATACGAGATCTGCGAGCAACTTAAACTCACACAGTCCCACCAATCGGAGCAATCCTGTCGCTGGGGAAAACATGCAAAATACGACGCCACCTCCCTCTGAACAACCCCCTCTTCCTTTCTTACCCTTATCCTATTTGCCATCTTTCTGAAATTTCCCCAATTACCGTATTTCCGGAGTTCCGGCCGAAAAACTACTGTCGAGCGGAGGCAGGGGCATGGGACAGGAGAAGGGGAGGTATATGGCGCACTTGAAATTGGAAAAAACCCGAGAAAATTCAGCAGCCCAAAACATTTCTCACGAAGGCAAATACGTCCCCTCTTCTCTCTCTCCACCCAAATACGTCTTTTTTTCTGTGAAGATCGCCAACGTACGGCGTGCCCTGGTGCCAAGTTCCTGTCCTATCTCCTGGCTCGTCACATGTTTACTTGCACTTTTCGATATTTTAGCAGCCGCTGTCCTCTAGGGGGTTTCGCAACAGGACCGTGCAGTAATAGCCACCACGTCTCCAGTGACTTCTGCTTGCGTTATTTTAATATTGTGACATTTTTAGGGCGTAGATGGTGTACACTTACCCTGCGCGTACTGTCGGTCAGGTCCCGGACCAGCTTCAAAAAAGTTTTTTAACGTAGCAGATTTCATCCTTTGGCCATCGGTTCTCATTCGGAGATAATAGCCCTTTGAGAGTATTTAAATCTATTCGTGCAAAACTGGGATCACCATCATCCAGACAGAATGGCGTCCTTTGAAGGGGGGGGGGGGAGGGGAATAATTAGCCTGAGGAATTTCCTTCAAACGTATTTCTTTTTACCTATTTCTCATGTGCCATATACATTGTTGGAAGGATTTCACTTCTTTCCTTAATACATTTCTGGGGAGAAACTGGAAGTTTTTTTTCAAAAAAGTGGGAAAAATTTGTAGGAAGTTGACAAAATTGAGGAAGATGGGATGATAAGTAGCTTGGAAAGCAGTGGGGGGTCTCACCAGACAGGGAAATTGAGAGGAGGAATTTTGAAAATAATTTTTCCGACTGCAGGTAATGCCTTGGTTGGTTCACCCACATTGGAGTTCCTTCCCACTTCATACCACGGAAATGTCATACAATTTGAAGGTCTTTTTTGTGGAGTTCATATCCGTTAGGAAAAAAGACCTTCAAATGCCCTCTCCAAATCAGTTTAAGCCCTTTTCCTTTTTTATAACATCTGCTTTTGTAGTTTTGAAGGTAAACGATTTTTTTTCAGTCAGCAGGATGCAGTTGCGGTAAATAAGGGTCCATCTGAGAACTTCGGCCTGAATGCGCCTACACCAGGTTTTGGTTTCCAGTGGAAACGCACACGAGAAGAAGAACTCCAGACACAGAAAGATGATCCAGAACTGTCTCGTCTGGAACGTTTTGATAGATTTGCAACGAGCAATTAGAGATTCAATTAGTGAAAATTCGCAGAATCAGTCGTTGTAAATTCTCGAATAAATAGCTATGAAGGGGATATGGCGATTGCTTACAGTTTCTAAAAAGGTCTCAACGCCTTTTGAATTACCGTATTTCTATTTTCGTTGATTTTGTACTGTTTTTTTATTTATCAGCTATTTGTTCTGATTTCTGAACCGTACAGCCATCCAACATGCGGCCCACCGTCGTTTCTATGAGCAAGCACTTCGGAGCACTTGGCAAGGTAATATTTTCTTCAAATGGTAGCTTACTATTTACATTCCAGATTAGTCCTTTTGTCCCTAAACTATGCTGGGATATTTTCACCTTTCAGTGATTCTGTTAGCGCGTGTTGCTAGATGAATATGGGGGCTGTTAACCACTAATCATTGCCCATTTTTCAAAGTTTTTGCATGGTCCTTTTCAAGTTTTCTTCCTAGGGTTAGATTCGGCGAGACGTAGGCTTGCGAACAGTTTGTCTCCCAGAACAGAAGACATCTGTTTGACGCGCAAACGTCTGAGAGAGGCGCCGAAGCCGCACGATTGTCT